CCCTGCAGGTGCTGTTTGCTTTGAACCAGACACTGCTGCAGCATGAGGGTGTTCGAGCAGGCAGCCTGCAGGGCTCCTACACCACTGAGGACCTCATTACACACTACAACTGCGGTGACCTCAGCTCCATCATATTCAACCATGACACCTCACAGGTATAGTCTCTTCCTTTAGCTTTTAGATCACCTCATGGAGAGGTTGTCTTAAAGGGTGGGTCAATACATCAATCTTTTGAATTCCAACAAGGAAAAAGGAATGCCTCAAATAGGTCGACAACAGTATGTACAACGTCATCCAAAAATTTCTGAAGCCAAATTATTGCACTTTGCCCAGTAATACAACATTTATATCATTATCTCTCACAGTATATTTTCCCACTTACAAAGCTTTACATGGTCCAGCAACAGTCTCCTAAAAAGATCATCATGTCTTTGTTCTCATAACAATCTGTTTTTTCCAATTTAAGTCATAGACAAAAGATTTCACATTAAAAAGCAGTCCATCAGTTTAACATTGCAATGCTGTAACACTGATGAATTCACAGTTAACAGCTGAACAAAAATGTGTGCAGCAGAGCCAGGCATATTAGGCGAGTCCCAATTCCTTTAATTGCATCCACGTTTCCCTCACTTGCATCTTTTCCCTGTGTCTTAGTCCCACCAAAGTACAATGTGAGGAAAAGATGCAAGAAGAGAAGAAGTGAGGAAATATTGTTAGAGACATGACGTGTAATTTCTTCCAATCCTTCATCTGAAGTGTCCGATCATCATCTGATTTCTGATAAAGGGGCTTGACAATCAATAAAAAACTTCCGCAAAGCATGGACTTGTGTATCCTCGCTCCTCAGAACAGATATAACAGCTCTGCGACGTTCTTTACTGTAAGATAGACTGGAAAGACTTCCAGGTCGAGTGAGGCTCAAGGACCATGGAACAATAAAATAAGGGAATTGGGATCACCCTACATTACCCACAATACAACTCAGCCACCAACAGTCAGAGATTCAGTTATGCTAGTAGTGGCTAATGTAAAGTAATGTAATGTAAGTAAAGATGAGGGCATGGCTACAAAGGTCTGGTAAGCTCACTTACTTAATGCTACGCCCCCAGATGCTTTTTTTTTTCAAACTTGCAGCTCTCAGACCTATCCAATGCTAAATGAAGTGAGATTATTTCAAGCAGCAATACACACACAAAGCCACAAATGTTTTGTACAGTTTCTTCACATAGGCAGCACTAATCCTCAAAACCTAGAAACAGACTCTGACGTGTTAAATTGAGGAGGTTCCCCCTCAAATACTTTTATGGTAGGATCTGACTACAGAATACCAGCCTGATAATGGTCACCTGGTCTAATGGCATGGAGCAAGGGGAACAAAAATAATCACTTGTCTATTGCTATCATAATTACAGACAACAAATGCAGCAGCTAGGACACTTCACATGGCGTTTTTCCATTAGCAAGGGTTAGCCCACTTTAATCGTGCAGTGGTGGGTGAGCACAAGTTGGCCTCGTTTACATCTGTTCCTACTGTGGCAGCAGGAGGTAATCATGCTGATTCTGGCTCAGCTGGCCCTGCTTCCACTCAGGGCCAAGTGGAGCCAAGCTCATTGAAATATCCGATTGGCTGAAATGTTGCACAGAGGGATAGTCCTTACACATTCAGCACTAGCACTGGCTTTCTGTAAATTCATGGCAGCAAGATTTGCAAATTAAGTCTGACACTTGTTTTCTGATGAGGAGTTAAAATAATGCCTAGCACCAAGGGCTCCATGTTGCAAGCTAGTAACACCACTTTATCATCACGAGTTATGTGTTGCTTCTCAGAGGTCTTGCATCACCTGTATGTAATCAAGATGTGGAAGACAAATGATGCATTTTATGGTGCAGTGGAAACACAACTGTGCTATCTCTGGAGCAGCTCAGCATGGCTCTGCCACACAAGCCTCAGTTCGAAAGGGCTAACCCATACTCATGGAAAAAGACCAAAAATATCCTGGCCATAAACTGAATACAAAGATAGATGATGCGTCACTACGTCCCTCAACTATGCAAAAGTGAAGCAAGTATATTGCATTTACAGTGGCTGCCATCTTGGCATCTTGCAACCAGATTCTGTGTAGTAGCAATGTCAAGTGGAATGGCAACATAAAGCCTCCAATCAAAGCTGTGAAATCATCTGAAATACATCTGTTTTTATATAATCAAATAACTTATCTAAAACAAGCTTACCAGAAAAATGACCACCTGTACACACACCAGAATGACAATATCTACTAAAAACAACAGAAATCACCTCTGGGAAAAATTTTGATCTATCCCATACACTAACATAGAGGGAGCAGGGTTTGGGTCCGATACTCCAAACCCCCCACCAGAGTGCAATCGACTTGCTATGGCTTGATGTCTGGGAGCTATGACGTTGTTTTTTATATACAGTCTATAGTCCTGACAAAAAGACTAGTCTGACAGATTTTTTATTTTTTTCTTGCCTTTTGTCACGTGGTATGAAAGATTTTCCAATGTGTTATATGATGTTGGCCCATAAGAGCACAAAACGTACAACTGTAACTGTCCAGCTGTAGATATGGCAAAGAAAAACAAGAATGATCTCATTTTTATGTCAGTGCAATAAACTCCACAGCAGGGTGATATTCTCTTTTGTTCAGAAAAACTATATCAAATTAATCACATTTGTGGGTGTGATGTCACCCTCTGCACGCTATATATATACTGTGTACCCAGAACAATAGCTGGCGATGACTGCTTGAGAGTTGACTTCATCCCTGAAATGTGTGAATATACGTAAACACTGTTGCTGGTGCTGTCCAGTAGAAGAGTAAATCTTGTCCTTGGCAGCTTCTTTCTGGCTTATGAGCGTCATTCATGTCATAAAACACAACAAGCAATGATTCATTAGGGTCCAGTCTACCATGTGTCTCAGCCAAATCACAGCAAGACGTCCTTCTATTATTGCTAAATTTAACACTGACCATCTCAAAAGACAAAAATCTGTGGCAAACGATATTTACTCATTTGCATTTATCACTTTACAGGGCCAACCGAGACGTGGTCTGCCTCAGTGTATATACAGTATGTTGTTCTGGAGGCTTTGTCACTCTGCCATGAATAAAATATGCTAATAACAAGGAATCTTTGTAATTAGTTTTGTTTTGCTTTCTTTTGTTAGACAAAAGAATGATCAAGTTTCTGACACTGTAAAATATTTATACAAAATAAGAGCTTTTTGCTTCTTTCCAAAAACATCAGTGTTCACATAACCAAATCTATTGGAGCCTCGATTTCAGCTGGCAACCCTCTCATACACACTTCTCTACCATTATGCAATCATCAGCTCAGACCTTTAGGACATCAGTTGCACAAAACTTCACATTGTCATATTAATCGCTCTCAACCTCAAGTTACTTTATAGTTTGATACTTTAATCACCCTGGACTCTGCTGTAAATACACCATCTGACCTCCCCTAACTTTACGTTTCCTAACATAGCTTCTGCTCTTTCAATGATGGCCTCCTCATCACTCTTCACGCCCAGCCTTGCTACAGTGACTGTAAAAAGACCATTCAAAATATAGTACACACATATTTGGTACAGGCACCACATGTATTAACTCTCACTCCATCTATACTCTTAGATTTTCTCGAAAGCTCCCCATAAGTCAGTTATGCTATGTCACCCTCTGTCGCTGATCCTTAAGTCTTATTAAAGCCTAACATACAACTTCAACTCACCGCTCAACTGATTCCATATCATTACCCCGGAGACACACAAAGTAAGAGAAGGTGTGCACAATGTACTGTTTAGACACTTCAGAACTCACAATGCCTCTTTTGTTAAGCTTTGACAAAAGGCATCTCCCTTTTACCTGATTTCTTCCTCTGTCTCTCTCTAGGGGCCAAGAAGAGCTGGTTAGCCACAGTTTCACCTGCAGTTGTGGCGACAGCAGTCTCCTGCATGAACACTTTAAATCATAGCAGCTCTCCCCAGCTCCTAATGTCATAATAACATGTATTAACATTCCCCAGCACATGCTAGAGTAATCAGAAGCAATAGGAGGTTGTGTATGTGTGTGTGTGTGTGTGTGTGTGTATGTGTGTGTCAGAGAGAGTGAGAGAAAGAGACTGAACCTTCTGGGCTATAAAAGAGCAGGTGTTTTATGACAGAACCTAAACCAGAGGCCTCAGTATTAGAAAAAGGTTGATGATGGGCTCCAGAGCACAACAGAGCATAATGGTGCAGGAAACATTAATGCTCAGCTGGTCCCAAATCCATCAGGGATACAAAGTCTAAGTGAGAGAGATATGAAATAACTTGGACAAAAAACAAAGAAGGCAAAGGCAGTCATTTGAAATAATATAAAAAAGGATAAAGAAAAAAATTGTACAGGAAAGTTACCTTCAAACATTTTGGCATTTTGAATAAATTGTGACATGGTCAGCACAAAGTCAAATTTAATTGGAATTTAACTAATACTCTCCTGATATTTGCAAAAGAATTGACTACATTCCCTTTATTATTTCTCATATACTGTGGTGAAACACTGATGTTTCTGTGGCTGATGCTAAGGAAAGATGAAATAAAGGAAAAGCTAAATGAAATGGAAAAGAAAGAAAAGTATAAGAGAATGAGGGATAAAATAACAGTCAAAGAGAAAAAGAAAGAATAGAGGAGAGTACATTGTTGGCAGGAGAGACTGACAGAATGAGCTGAGTGCAGAGCAACATCAGTGGTGAGGAAGGGAGGAAATAACTTGCTGTCACTCCACATTTCCTGTGCAGGTTGGGATACAGAGCAGCTAATGGCCTTTCCTGTGATGACTTATCTGTGTTTACCGCTACACTCCCACCTTGGCCCCTCTCTGACCGAACACTCTCATCATGAAACACTCACAGTACCATCACTCATCAGAGCAACGATGAAGCACTCCTTCTCCACCTCTACATCGCTTTAACTTATTCATCCAACTCTGCTTCTGTCAGTTTGGATGAGCCTGCATGACAGAGAGAGCATACATGGCTTCAGGCTACAGATAGCTGTGATCTTGGCTTCCTTGCCAATGTCATGCAAACCAATTGGATTTGATCAGCTCTTGAAATTAACAAGCACCAAGCTGCCGAATGTGAATCAAAATGA